AGTCTGTGTGTGTGCGCGCGTGCGCGCGTATGAAATGTGTGTTGGAGTGTGTGTATAAATGCGTGTATGCGTGTGTGTCAAAACTGTGTGTGAGTGTATCCATGTATGTATGTATGTGTGTGTGTTTGTGAAAAGTGGACTGTGTGTGTGTGTCAATAGTGTGTTGGAGTGTGTATGTGTGTGCGTTTGAAAAGTGTGTTGGGGTATGTGTATGTGTGTGCGTGTGAAAAGTGTGTTGGAGTGTGTGTATGTGTATGTGTGTCAAAACTGTGTGTGAGTGTATGCATATATAATATGTATTTGTGTGAAAAGTGGAGTGTGGGTGCGTGTTGGAGTATGTATATGTTTGTGTGAAAAGTGCTATTTTAGCAATGTTTGAATTTTTCCCGTACTAGATTAAGTATAATACCAATTTTGTTAATAAGATACTATACGATGCCTGTCAGTTGGGGTTTGTAATCTACCATCACCTTAATATTCTACAATTTGAATGTAATATTCTCATATATCCAACGTACATCTATTAATTTATTGTTATTAAGCTACAAAAGTTTGAAGCATTCTCAATAAATACCATACAAATAGATTACTTATTTTTTCAAATTCAAAATTAAAGATAAGAAACTTCAGGTCCAATACCATACATTAAACTGCTGATATAATAGAAAAAGATGTGTAAACCAAAAAAAAAAAATCTGATCCCTAAGTTTCAGTAATTTTCTATTATAATCAAATTGATCCATTTTTCTTCAAAAAGTTTCTCTACTATTAAGAGTAATTTTCTCGGAGTAACATTGAAATAAAAAGCTGTTTACTATTTTTTTTTTGGAAACTTTGGCACCAATGCGTAAAAATAACTGCTCGAGAGAACACGTTTAGAAGAAAATCAAATGATAGCAAAGATATAATTCAAGACTTTATCATCGTCCAATATAAAACGGATTATTCGATGCTACATCGAATGAAATACATTTTTCTTCAAAAAAAATTCTCTACTATTAAGAGTAATTTTCTTGGAGTAACATATATTTTTTTTAAACATTGAAATAACTTTAATAAAAAGCTGTTTACTATTTTATTTTTTTTGGAAACTTTGGCACAAATGTGTAAAAATAACTTTTCGAGAGAACACATTTTTTTAAGAAAATCAAATGGTAGCAAAGATATAGTTCAAGACTTTATCATCGTCCAATATAAAAACGGATTGTTCGATGCTACATCAAATGAAATACATTGTTTGATTTGTAACGTTTTCACATGCAGCAACGGGCAAATAAACCCTCTCATAACAGAACTACCTACCTCTATTTCTTACTCAACTCAGCGGATAGAAAAAGTAGTATAACTTGATTAAAATTATTTATATTCGACAATTGTTACAATTTAATCGCATATTAAGTAAACCATGGTTAGTTTCCTTTCTTACCATCGAATTAATTTCTTATTTCAAAGATAGAATAAGGTTGTAGATTATGGGTAACTTTTGTGTGGTTGAAAAAAGAAAAAATCAGGAAAATAAAAAAATTAAAGAAAAATGCAATTAATCACTTTCAGAACAAAAGTATTGAAACGAAATGCAGAGGATTATTACAACCACAGAGGCTAATCAATAAGCCAAACTATGGTGAAACTGAAACAAAACGGAATCTACATATATAATTGGAATGGAAATGTTCAATTAAAAGAAAATTAGATTGAATCTACAGATATAATTGGAATGGAACTCAGAAGGGTGGTTTTCGTTTCTGATTTGGATTTTGGATTTTGGGCGGTTAGAATGAGTGCCGTCCGTTCAATTCCATTTTGGAATCCGGGACCCTTTTGTCACGGACTTGTTCCCTTAACAACGAACCGCCCGAAATGTGTTGCGATTGCTAAGTCGCCCATCGCGATAGCTAAGTCGCCCCTCGCGATAGCGAATGCTAAGTGATGGAAACGAAGAAAGAAGTTAAGAAGGCGAGAGAGTTTGTAAGAAAGTACTTTATTGCTTAGGTGCTTGTTGGATTTCTTGGATGATTACAAATGAGGACCCTACCTCTATTTATACTAGTCCACCTCATCAATGGACGGTGGAGATCTATTTTATCTAACGCTTGGGAGTGGTTCTCTAGGACACTCCAAAGAATTCCTAAATATCTCGATCTACCTCTAGACATTTGGGCCAACTTGGGCCTAACCCTATTTGGGCTAAATCTTGGACTCTGTAACCTCTCCGACCCAAGGGAAATTGGCAAGGGGTTGGGCCAAAACTAGCGGGCCGTGACACTTTGCTCTTTTTTCTTGTTTATTTCTTATTATATTTTTAAGAGTCGTATTAACAATTAATTACTATACACCTGTTTTAACTTCTAAGCACACTTAAAACTAATCTATTTCAATCTAAAAATTTCGGAAAATGATTTTTTAAATGTCGTTCGAGCTTTAATAATAATGTTTCGACTTCAAACGTGATTTTGATCATTTTTAATTCCAAATTTTGCAATAAGAAATTTCGGAAAAGGGATGTGAAAAATAGAATTTGTAGTATTCTGAGTTAGTTTTCTAATCCAACTTGAATCGCCAAAATTGGATGCCGGACGAGAATGATATACATGAATCAGTGGATATTGCCCACAACTTTGATGTATTGAGGTAACTAATATTCAAAATGTGACTCATTCATGCATAACTTTGTCACATGGCATCCAATCTAGCGGATTTAAGTTGGATTATAAAGCTAACTAAAAGGACTATAATTTTTGTGTTTCGAATTTTGCCAAAATCAAAATAGAAATATGTCAAAATCAGGTTCGAAATCAAAGCGACATTAGTAAAATTGAAACGACATTTAACATTTCAGTTATCTATTTTAGAGAGTACTTTATTTTTAAATTATATATAACCATGCATTAATTTAACTATGTGTTGATTATTAGATAGTAATAGAAATAACTGCATCAAATTGAGTCTATTCATAGTACGAAACGGTTTATACTATGTTACATCCGGTGAAATACAATGAGCAGATTTTTACTATTCATAAGAAAACACACACACCCAGTTTGGTGTATAGATCAATGGTAAAAATTCACTCAGTGTAACCTTAATCGGCTGTAGCATAGAAATAACTGTACGAACCACCTATTTACAAAAATAACCCCTCTTTTTCCCATAATTACATCCACATTTCCGTAATTTGTAGATTTCTTATTAACACCCTTTTGCAGTGGGGATGTAAGAAATTTACAAACTGCACGGAGCTGGATGTAATTTCTCAAAAAGAAGAGATTTTTCTATAGTTACACTTTACCTCAGGGAGATGATTGTAATTTATCCACTTATTCAATTTTCCATGTACTTTATCACTTATTCAATTTTCGTTCATAAACAAGATAAAATTACAATTTACGTCTCTAAACATGTCACGTTTATGTCATTTTTGTCCCTCCTATTTTTCCCATTCATGTAAATGTAGGATTTTTTAGAGGAATTTCATACAAACCCAGATTTCTCTTTAAATCCCTATTCCCCAATTTTCGAATTTTCCTACTAATTTGCTCTTGGGGAGAATTTTGAATTTACTCACTGCACTTTAATTTGAGTTGTTGCACATTCTCTTGTCAATAAATAAATAAAAAAAATACATTTCAAGATTGAAAACAAAATTAAACATGCAACTTTTAGCTTTTATGATATCATTATACTAGTTGGAATTGCCAATTCTTTGATTAAACAATTATTTAATCAAGCCAAATTAAGTAATTATATTTAATTTACTAACCGACTAAAAAAATTATTATATTTTCATATACCACTTGTTAAATACAATTCTTCACGATATTATAATTTCTGTGTGAGATTTTTTTATTAAAAAAAATTAATAATAATTTATTAAAGAATAGTTAATTTTATTTTATTGTTGAATTGATTAAAGAATAATTTTATTTTTAGGAAATTTGAATTTCAAAATTTAGAATTGTTTTGAAAATTAAAATAAATAAAAAAGTCGGAAAATTCATCCGTAGCTTGGTCATTCCCAATTGGACAATAATAATTAAAAAAATAATAATAAATAAAAGAAATGAGCAGGGGACCATTTGGCGAGAGACACGTGGCAGTTTTTAGAATTAAACTCCTATCAAATTAGATTGTACTTTTAATTTTAAAATTTATAATTACCATTAAATTAATATTCATTTAATATGTGTAGATTAAATAGTAGTACTGGAAAGAAGTGCATCAAATTGGGTCTATCTATAGTACCAACCAATACAATCTTAATAAACAATTAATTATTACCAAAATCAATCAAAATTTAGGTAGTAAACTTCGAAGCGGTTGTCTCGCATTGAAAAAATCGGGAGAATTAATTACATTTTGTCCCTATATTTTACTACTTATTCAATTTTCGTCCATAAACAATATAAAATTACAATTTACGTCCCTAAATATGTCACTTTCGTATCATTTTTATCCCTCCGTCTATTTTTCTCATTCATGTAAAAGTAGGATTTTAAAAGGAATTTCATAAACACCCAGATTTCTCTTTAAAATCCTAACCTTCAATTTTCGAAATCTCCTACTAATTTGCTCTTCAGGTAAATTTTGAATTTACTCGCTTCACTTTAATTTGAGTTGCTGCACATTCTTATTAAACAAAACAAAATATAATTATTTAATTCAGCCAAATTAAATAATTACATCTTTTTAATATGTGATCAACAAATTAAGTTATAAAAAAAAGGCCATATATTAATATAGTGACTAATATATATACCACTATATAAGTATAAGTTTGACCTACCTTTAATCCTTATAAACCCAATGTTGACTTATTTATGATACAATTTATGTAAACTATACCGAAAATAGGTTGCAATTTACTTTGTTTTCTTGTCCCCCTTGAATTTCCCACATACTATATAACCCCCCACAAGAATTCAGATATACTCTACACAACACTTCTCTCTCTCTCTCTCTCTCTCTCTCTCTCTCTCTCTCTCTCTCTCTCTCTCTCTCTCTCTCTCTCTCTCTCTCTCTCTCTCTCTCTCTCTCTCTCTCTCTCCAAGCTTTGATAATGGAAGAATTAGTGCTAAACAAAGATCAGATTATTGAATTCCAGGAGGCCTTTAGTCTATTTGACAAAAACGGAGATGGTTCCATTTTTGCCCTTCATATATATATATATATATATATATATATTTCAATATTTGCATTTTTCTTGTTAATTTTAAATTCCACATGTTTTGATGATGGAATTTATTTAATTTATTATAATTAATATGATAACAATTTTGCAGGTTGCATTACAATAGAAGAACTAGCCACAGTAATAAGGTCGTTGGATCAAAACCCGACCGTCGAAGAACTCCGCGACATGATCAACGAGGTCGATTCCGACGGTAACGGAACCATCGAATTTGAAGAATTCATGACTCTCATGGCCAAAAAAATGAAGGTTTTTTTCCTTTTCCGATATTTAATTATATAATTGATTGTTTTACTACATAATAATAATTATTATAATTTATATATATTTAAAATTAAAAAAAAATTGTTAGGAGAGTGATGCAGAGGAAGAACTGAAAGAAGCATTCAAAGTGTTTGACAAGGATCAAAATGGCTACATATCTGCTGATGAGGTAGAAATTTAAAACTTGTTTATATTAATTAATGCTGCAGAATTAATTATTTAATTAAGGAATTCAATATTTAACTGTGTATTAATTGCATTATTTAATCAATTAATTGTTCGGATCAAAGGACTTGGTTTTAATACATTAAACAGAAACCACTTGTGAATTTAAAATACGAATTATTGCCCTTTGTTTTATAATTATTAATTAATATACTTCGTTGACTTCTTTGCGTGGTCTTCTCCATCCGTAGTAATATTGTACTCAAGCATCTGCTACGCGCTTTAATTCGTCACGCGCTATTTATTATTATTATTATTATTATTATTATTATTATTATTATTATTATTATTATTATTATTATTATTATTATTATTACCCAAGATTAAATAAAGCACTGAACATAGATCTTTTCTTAATTTTTTTAATTGAATTATGAATTATATTCGTAATAATTTATTGATTTAATTGTGAGTTTTTTAATTAATTAATTAATTAATTAATTAATGATAATCGGATGCAGCTTCGACACGTGATGATCAACTTAGGGGAGAAATTAACAGACGAAGAGGTTAAGCAGATGATTAAAGAGGCTGATTTGGATGGAGATGGTCAAGTTAATTACGATGAATTTGTCAAGATGATGATTAATATTGGATAGAATTAAGGATTACATAATTTTAATTATTAAGTTCAATTTGATTGTTATTAGATTGATTTGTGATTGTATTCTTTTATTTTTAAATTAAATTGTAATTTTTAATTATTCATGTAATATTGTTGTGGTTCTTATGATTCAGCTTGTTTGACTATATTTATTTATTTTTTATATTTCTGATTTTTTTTGCTCCAAGAAAATGGATTATACAAAGGTTACATTGGTTCCAAAATTCCCTGGTGTTTAAGATCAAAGAGTGAAACTAATTCCATAACAAAAAAAATATAAACTTCGAAAATCGTATTCGAAAATAATTT